CTTAGCTTCATTCCGAACCCATTCTTTTCTTTCAGGGAAGACCACAGTATAGGACGTGTGAAGGTTGGTAGTTTCAGGCATAATGTCTGAGGGCTTGTCCAATAGTACATTGTGTGTCTAGCAGAAAAAAAAATACAACCCTACACAACAATATGAAATGCTGGCTGAAGGACTATGCCAAGGCCAACCAGCATTGAAGTTTGTGAATTAGATTTTACTACGATGTATACCTACAATTTTTTTCACAAAGATATCAATTAGCCTAGGATCATATGACATCGTATTGTCGGCTGAAATTCACGCATCAATTCATGTGTAGAGAGATTGAAGGAAATCAACTTTACACATAGAACAATTGAAATGTTTTCAAATAGCCAAGCGACTTTGAGAGCACTTGCACGTACCAACCAACGTCTAAATTGGTGTTGAACTGTTATTGAGGATTTTCCGAAAAAGAAGAGTCAACAAATTATATGTGGTCTGAATTTCGTGCCACTCCGGTATGGAAGGGGATAAAATGGCAGATTCCCACGACCTAAGCCGTCAAAAAATTCATCCCGGTAAATACCTACAGTTGTTTACGTTATACTCATCAACAAAAATTGAGAGTTGATCAACTCCTCCAGAAGATAGGATAGGGTCGAAGAACCATATATTCGTAGCTGGATAATTGAAATCGGTCTCGATCTCATTGATATATTGGAGAATTTCAAAAATTACCAATGTTCTTGAAATGTTTCATCAAAAGCCTCTCTCGGGAGGGTCTCTGATTTTTTTAACAGTATATAAGAATTCCTTGGTGTAATTTTTTCCAGGAACGAATCGACAATGAACATAAATGAATATCAACTACAACCCATTCCAACATATTTTCTTACTTTTCGAAACGAAATGAAATGATTCCAGATCATCTCGAGTTTTGTGGATGCGAAGTTCTTCAACAAGTTACTGACTGAATAAATTTTACTTTTACAAACTTCTTAGTAATAAAGTACAATCGCGAAGTTTAACGTTCCATATTTAACGTTTCTAATTTCAATGTTCTACATTTCATGAGTTTCTCGACTTTGTGAATACTTTTTAACAATCATTCTCACTTCAACAGTAAGAGGAGCTCATTCCCTCTTTCGATGGGTGAAAATGTAGATCATTGTTGTAGCAGTGCATAAATAATATGGACGAAATATTTCACACTGAATTCCTGAGAATATATAATATATAATAGTAGCTAAATTGCTGATAGGGACTAGGAGAACGACATGGAGCAGATAATGAGAAGATTTCAGTATTCCTTGGAGATTTTGTTACCACTGTATAACTTGTATCAGGGATTTTGTTGATATGTACTGATGTGCAGCAATTCAACACAATACAATCATGAAACTGTGAAACAAGCATATTGCACAAAAATATTGATGATACTTGTAGATATTGAGATGCTTATTCTGAGAACGAAACAAGCTTATCGGCATTTTTTTTTTCAACATGAAACATGAAGTCAGTAGGAAAAATAAAAATACGTTCATTCTCTTTCAGACTGTTTTGAATTTCAACCAACTGATGTCGATATCACATCGAAAAACAAAGAGTCATTGAAAATCTGTGAAGATAAGAATGTCGAAAATCAAATCTCTAATTCTCAATGTCGAAAAGAAGGTGAAAAACATTCTATTTGTGAATGAATCAATTGCAGCTTCGTAATTCAGTTCGTTTCTCACAGTAATATCAACCAAATACTATATCTGGTATCTGTATAGAGCATTTTCATTACTGTAAGTATGGAGCATCCAAAGCACTTTGATGTTGATCCAGAAAAAGCCTGTCTTTGAGAAAGTATCATGACAATGAATTTTTCGAATGGAGCAGGAAGTTCAAACATGTTTTATCATAATATATGATTATTTTTATATTATTCCTCATTTTCAATAATACCTATCTAATAGATGAATCACATTTTCTGTCATGATTTCTTCACAAATAAAGAGAAAAAATATATCGAATACTTGAACTTTGGCACGATAATACCCGTAACACAGTTTTACCTCTAATCAAACTGATTTTTTACACCTCGACACGTGTTTCGCTAACTATGTTAGCATCTCCAGAAAATGATTCATACTAAATGCTTTGTCCTAGTGGACTAACTATATGTCCACCCAAACGTGAATAGACAATAACCGCCAAGTTAATATTATTCATAGTTGATTTCACATTTTATATTACTAAGCTATACAGAAATCTGAATGGGATAGGTCCATTATCCTCATTCATTACTCTATCAATATACTACACACGATTCATTTAACCTATCATATTTCAAATGTGCTAAGTGTTCTTTGAACCTTGTTTTTATAGGATGTCTGGTTTGGCCTATGTATGTTTTATCACAATCATTACAAACTGGTTGTTCAACTAGCTCGGAATGAATGATTACTGCAATCATTCGAATGGAAAATTAGCTTTCCGTGCGAGTTATTCACCAACTTTTCTACAACTGTTACAGATAACAGTGAAATTTGTTATTACTTCGTCTTGTACCCTTCTGATTTCCTCTCAATTAGACAGAGCTGTCATTGCTTGAAATTTCACATTCCATGGGCGATGAGATTTATTTTAATAATTAACACAATGAAGTCATTGTGATATCAGATACGGAAATGAAATTGATTATATTCATAGTACCTCAGTGATCTGAAAAAAGATATATCCTTCAATATTTCTACTATACCCAGCGAGCACAAGAACATCTCAGAGATGTTAAAAGTACGAGATTTCGAGACATTGATCCTCCACTGCGATGTTCTGTTCACACATGAATAGAACTATTATAGAACAGCCAATGTCTGCCGCAGGCGGCAATTATCGAGATGTCCTTGATATGTCACAAAACTACCTTCTCCCTATTTCTTTTCAAAGCCTTTTCATGGACACAACAAAACATTTTCAACGTGTTTTGCGCACATTAAATCGCTGTTAAAAAACATTTTCGAGGTACTTTTCTGAAGCCTTTTGTCAAAATGAACTTTTGCATTATGATTCCATTTCCCTTGAATGAAAAAATATTTTCTTGTTATGAAATTACCTTCTTAATCGGTTTCTGAGTAGTGCTTACTACACACAGATATATAATTGGAAATAGGTTTTCCCAATTTTTGAAATGTTCTCCACAATGCATAATTTTGCAACTGCGGAGAAGCTGTGTATTGATCAATTCGTACTTTTATATATTGATTACATTGAGGCACCGAACAAAACATCTTGCATCTGATGGTCATTATTACAAACTAAATAAGTCTATTGACACAATAAACTTCACCAAATTCCTTTCTGTTCGTTAGCAGCGTGATGTAAGCGTGACACGCTGCAAACGCGAATGCCAATTGCGAACAAGAAGAACAAAATCGAAAACAAATCAGAATTCATCGTATTGTGACGTGAGCATGAGACGTTGTGGTGGGGCAAACAAAGAAAGCGCACAGAAGAACACAAACAATACTTTCAATATCCTTCTGAGACCTCTTTGGGAAGTGCATATTACGCCTCAAGAAAACATCCTCATGCCTACATTTCTGAAACATCCCAAAACGTCCCAGGGATACCTCTCAGTAGGCAAACAAAGAAATGCCACAGAAGAACAAAAACAATACTTCAATATCCTTCAAAGACCTCTTTGGTCAGTGCATATTACGTCTCAAAATAACATCTTCATGTCAACATTTTCAAAACATCCCAGGGATGTTCGTGCTCGCTGGGTATCTGTTGAGACTATGACATTCACTCACAAAACAAACAAGCTATTAAAATTTATTGTTTCCCGATAGATAAGATCTCAACATTATACCATTCAACTATCTGTATCATGATACACAAAGCAAGCCTGATCCAATATTTCATTGCACGATTATTTATCTCACAGGGAAGCAAGTTGCTCAAGTATTCAGAAGATAAAATCACTTAGTGATGCATCCCAGATTCTCCTGCCAACCGACATAAATATTTAACATTTATTCGAGGGGTATACGACTAGAGATTAGCGAATGAGGCTGTAATTCATACGTGAGTGTGGTTTGGATAATACAAACAAAGGAGGATAAATTATGCAACGTTGAATGGTAACAAATAATTGCTGTTCTCCTTACGTCTCCTGATTATTTACTGATATTGAGAATGTGAATGGAGTGTATGACGGAAGTTTAGATCTCAGGGGTTTCGAGAGTGATATCGATAGTATCTAAAGCGAAAATCGATATCTCCTAAAGATGGAGTCGTTTGGCTTATTAAACCAGATGGAATAGACCTGGTTACCAAGTATAAAGGGCAAATCATATGCAACTGAGATAATGATTCTTCCGTGAAACAAGTATTGAACTACATGGTCCATCCAATTGATCTATGATCCAAACTAAACTGGTCAACATCGATAACGTCGTTGTGCAAAATAGTTATAGCCTGTATTGAAAGTAAATCAAATCAAGAATTTCCTAGCTAAATCAAAACCGGAGTTTGTCGTGGCATAATAAAACTTCAGTGATTCCAGATAGAATTCATATAGGATGATAATTGAATGAGTATGAAATTGCAATGTGATCGTCGCCTTCCCGTCTGAGCAGATTTTTTTTTTTAGAGCTTTGATACTTTTGTTATGAATATCCATTCGATATGATGCATGTTCTCAGGATGTGTGATAGTATTCGAACACAAAATCTTCTGGAGAAGTCTATACAAAGTGAAACAAGAAATACCGTATTCCTCATTGAATTAAACATGATTTTCTCAGTGTCACTATAGTGGGATAATGGAGTGTAGTCATCAAGCAGTCTGGTTTAAGATCTAAGCTAATTGATTATGAACAAATTCGACGCTAACAAACATTTGATAATTATTACTGGGATTTTTCTTTTGGTCTAGTTCCTCAAATCAGTCACTCGATGGAAGTGTTTTCATATACAATCTCCTTATCAATTACATCACATATTTCATTTCCCTCTTATTTGTTTCAGATGTAAACATGGTGGCAGAACCGAAACCTCATCAGACTGGTAGAAAAAGGCAGAATGTTGTCCAAACTGTGAACGACTGGTGAGTATCAATGATCTCATCGGATTATTGAATCCTTATACTCTAACAATATGAGTGCATCTTTATTTTCTATCATAGTCTTTCGCTCTTCCAATATGTCGTCTGGTGGATATTTGACTCGTTCTTTCAGTAAACAGATTGTTCATCGAATCATTACAGGCAGGCATATCAAGGAAGGGTGACTTTTTGGCAACATCGTAATCACGAAGATCAACGCTCACCGTTAGACAGTTGGGCGCATGATGGTTAGGCGCATAACGAATTTCATTCCAGCGGAGACTAGCGAAGACGTACGATAGCCGGATCATGTTGCCATTCACATGCCCTATATGTAACGATTTGGCAAACATTCTAAATTTTACCGACAACGTTTGAGAGCAGATAGCCCTCGTGATTTCATAATTACTGAGATAGGGACAAACGGTCTTCAAATGTTCAGTTCTCGAGTTGGAGTTGAGAACAGATTTTTTTGCGATAACTCGAGAATAATTCAAAATATTGCATTCGAATTCGGTAATTGGTATCATCTTCGAATGGGTCATTTTGAGATCGAATATTCATTCTGAACATTTCATCGAATGGTGCGCTACAGGGGGTTGTGGCTACTTTTACTTCCATATTTTCTTGCCACTGATGAAATTTAGATTATCTTCAATTTCTCGATCCCATTGTTCAATTTAGTTCAAAAAATGCAACACCTTCAACCGAGCTGAAATGAACAATTACGAGATATTCGACTCAAAATAGACCAAAATAGAAGTTTTCACAGTAACTTTTCACCATTTTGATCAGTAAAAATGTTTGTTCTCTCTTTCTGCGTGAAATAACTATTTCTGTTCAGCTACAGAATGAAATCTAGAAGTTATTCAATCCACTCTCCACCAGAAAACTATTCTTATTATACTTCTTTGAAATCACCTTATTTTTATCTATAGTAATAATATTGTAAGACCCTGAACGAAAATATCATTGAACCAATGAATCACTATCGGTCACATTCAATGATACTATCCTTCCTAATTTACTGTCATCGGTCAGAACAGAATGAAGCCAACACCCATGGCTCCTTCCTCTTGTTGTGCCTGTCAGTATTTCGAGTGATGTAGACGGACTCGAATCCGTAGGCGCTGTTGCAAGATATAATCTGCAACTTTCCTAGAAAATAGTTCCGTTTTATTAAGGAACGAATTCATTAGCAAAAAAATTACTGACAAATTATGAATAACATATGTAATATAACGATAGTAAAAAATTATAGATACAATCGCAAGATATCATAATTTATTTTTATTAGTAATCAACTTCATTCAGTCAATCAGAGATTTATGGGAATTATTTATAATAATTGACAAAATAGGATTGGAGAACCTCTCATATACCATTGCTGTTATGATCTAGTTATTCAAAGAACAATTTCTGGAATTTCATAGGAATGGTAGAGGAGCTGTTTCTTTTTATATTTATTTTTTTCTGAAGTGTAATTTGATCTTAGGAAAAAAAAAAGTACGTATACAGGGTGACTCATTAGTGTGGCAAAGTGAGATAACGGCTTTAGAGTTTGATATAGATAGACAAAAGTTCCAGAGATGATCTATAGGATCAGGAGCAGCAAATTTCCAAATTATTTCGCTTTATACAGGGTGACTCAGAAATGCGTGGCGTATCAAAGTTATACTTTTTTTTATGGGACACCCTGTATTTCATTGCATTTTCGCATTCTCCTTTGTGAGCTGATTTCATCAATGCATCACACTTGGGAACAAATACAGAGTGGTTCAAGATTCAGCATTCTGATCACTATTGTATATGTTCCAATTAAATATCAGTAGATAGTGAATAATAATAATAATAATAGTTCCGACGCAAAAAAATCCTGAAGTTGAAAAATCTGGATTTTGAACACCCTATATCTGTGTAATCATTCTCGCTAGACCCCAAGTATGATGCAATGATGAAATCAGCTTACAAAGAAGAATGCGAAAATACAATGAACTTTAATACGCCACGCATTTCTGAGTTACCCTGTATGAAGCGAAATAATTTGGATATGTGCTGCTCATAATCCTAGATCATCCCTGAAATTTTAATTCATCTATCTCAAATAGTAAATCAGTTATCTCACTTGGCCACACTAATGACCCACCCTGTATACGTACGTAATAATTTTTTACCAATTTCACAGTGAGATAAGAACCTCAATATATGAAACTTCCCCATTTGTTGGTATCCTATTGAAACCTCTCCTATACTATATCTTGATACATTTTTCATTCCAAAAACTACTGATATGATTGAGAATTAAAAATTTTCTGACATGTATACTTAATAACATCATATCGCTATTTCAAACTCGAATGAGAATGAAAACAGAAATATAAGAGAGGTTGTTTCTGAGTCGTGAGTCACCTGTAACTATCGCTGGATATTCCACAGAGCGAATGAAAGTTCATCACACATTCTTTTACTCATAAACTTCCCTCTGGATCTACTTTTTTTTTAATAAAAGCGCCGTATCATGTTCATTGTTACGAACAAAAGAAAATGCAATATCATTTACACAGTGAAGGAATTATTGAAGTTTCCCGTCGACTTGGTGCGGATCAAAGGAAACGCGATAGCTTTAAAAAGTCCAAAGATGTAGGTGCTATATATCGAGTGATGGATTTTTGTCGATCGATCCTACTGAAAACAGAAATTGATTCGGCAAATGAATTATTCAAAGAACCTGTTTTCATTGCATCAACGCCCTCAAAGATGACGAGCAAATTGAAGTAATGATTATAGCAAAGATATCTGCCATTCTGCAATTACTTTTGAAATGAAAGACATTCTTTCTTTTCATTGCATGTGATAATTCATTCTACATTTCGAAATGAGGAGGTGTTGGAGATATCAATAATGAATTATGTATGTTTAATGGTATAAGTATAAGACTGCCGCTTTTCTGAAATGCACATCAACTTTGATGTATCAAATGTCTAATATACCTATAGGGTTTTCTAACTTAAGTCGATACGATTATTATTGCTGATTCTGATAATATTGAAGCTACGGAGTCGGTCACATGAACAAACTATTATAATTTTTTCTGCTGATAACGATGATAAAATCGAAAGAAAAAAATCATTCATAGCGTTCAAGAGTTATGTCGAAAGGTAATTATCGGTTATTTTCTTCGAATGGGACACCCAGCATGAAATATTTCAAGTCGAGAGGAAATTCTATTCGAAACAAAAAATTTCTGCCAATATTTCATGGTGAATTCAAAAATGACTAAGCTATAGATGATTTTTCGAATTCGTCAAAGTGATTGTATCAGTCAAGGATGGTCGAAGTATAACTCACGCGGTAGCTTCACCCTAGAATTGTTCTAAATTGTTCTAAAATTGCTCTTATCCCTCAGAGACCCAGAAAGGTCGTATACGTTCAATCATCGCATTCATGAACATAAGATGAATTTTTTCAAATTGAATACAAATTCAACATACGCCAATTATATATTAGAAAAAAAAAATAGTTATGATGATAATTTCCGATTTCTACAAGTAGAAAATTAAGGAATTAAACTATTCATTCATACTTACATAAAGCTGGTAGAAGTTGCATCAACCTGCTTAGATTAGTTAGTACCTCTTAGAACTTTCTTTTGTTCCACCAACAAGGGCCATTCATAGGGTCTCACTACAATATTGATTTTGAATAATTATGTACATAATCAAAACACTCTGGGTATTTCTATCTATTTCTGAATCCTAGTCCAGGATAACTAAGAAAAATTATCCTCTCAATTTACAACAAAATATATTTCACTGATTCAGGAGGAAAAGAGAGAGGTATAGAGATCTGCAAAGACCTGGAGACAGGGGCAGGGTGTTACAACACCCCCGCAACTCAATCATCTCATGTTTCATTCCTACAGTAGCAGAATAACGCGAATAAAAATTTATCTCATCGCCATATTATTATGCTCTCGATATATGAGAGCAGGTTGAATGGATCTGGATCGATAACCAATAATCGTACAATGCTCATGCATGGAAATGATACCTCAATATTTGTACAATTCCAGCGAATCTTAGTAAACAAACGAGGTTATTTCCCACGTAACCTACATTATATCTTCCATTTCTCTTCAGACCAAAAACATAAACATAAAGGGAGATAGCAAAATGATAAATATATTCACATCTCTGATGTTGCAATTGAAGACGTAATCCTAGGATTACTCCCCACACCTACCTACCCATGCCTACATTATTTACTATCGAAGCATATACAGGGTCTCCAAACAAGAACCGGATCCTCTACCAGAGATCGCCAAGACCTGTCTTCTTTTCTACATGAGGAGAGCATTTTTGACAGTTGAACGAGCTTGATGTGTTCATCACCCTAGCAACCCCAACTTTGGAATTTAGAATCGAACTACCATACTTCAAACACATCATTTCAAAGCCCTTTCTATTACGAATTCGTTGGTGCAGCGTTTTTGTAAATCGGTTGATATTTGTCAGAGTTATTGAACAAAATCAATTCTTGACAATAATATTCGAATAACTGATATTATATAATTCATATTCAAAATTGCGCATCGATCAAAAGCTGTCCATCTTTTTTTTTATCGCTTGGAGCGCACGAAAGGGAATCCCTATTATGTTCAGAGAACATCGTGCGTTCCTAGAGAGGATAGGGACAGGAGGTATAGGTATTGGAATTTTTTTTGAACTTTTGGAGATTATATGTTGTTGGGAATACTTCCACAGGCAATGAATTCCAGAGCCTAGCCGTTCTATGGATGAAGGAGTCTTGATAAAGTGCTGTTCGACATCTTTCGAGGTTGACAACGAAAGGATGTGCTGACTGGGCTTGTCTAGTTCGTCTGATTGGTATTGCTAGTGAAGGAATGATAGCAGAGATTTCCGAAGAACATTTCCCGTGGAAGTATCGATAGAAAAGTGAAAGGTCGCCGACCTTTCTACGGTGTTCCAATGATGTCAAAGAGTGAGTGAGTGTGGCGTCACCCACCAGGCGAATGGCTCTTCTCTGGATCGAATCTAAGAGCATCAGCGTATGTTTTGGTGCTGAACCCCATATGTGGGAATTCTAGTAGTATTCTAGAACAGGCCGTATCTGCGCTTTGTAGATCATGAGAAGCTGTTGAGGTGTAAAGTAGCTTTTCGCACGGAACAAGAATCCGAGTTTTTGTGAAGCAACTTTTGCGATGGATCTGACATGATTATCCCATGAAAGAGTGTTGCTGATGGAAATACCGAGCATAGATATGGTGGGCTTGGTGGGGATGGTGGAGCCAGACATTAAAATATCGGGCATACTGAGTTCCGCCTTTCTAGAGAAAATGCAGGCTTGAGTTTTGGTGGCGTTGAATCCAACTAGGTTGTTGGTTCCCCAGGCTGTGATTTCAGCAAGATCTTCATTGACAGCATTGACCTGCCTGCGCCGTGAGTTCTTAGTTTCCTGGGAAGAGATGGAAATTCTGGAAGAGAACGCAGTATGAAGGGTATTATCATCTGCAAAGCTGTGAATGGGGCAAGTTGTTACTGCCAACAGATCATTGATATGAAGCAGGAATAAAGTTGGTGCCAAAATTGATCCTTGTGGAACGCCGGAATTGATGCCAATGGTATCAGACGATACACCGTCCATCACAACGTGAAGCGATCTGCCTGAAAGAAGACTCGATATGAGAAGGCATAGCTGAGGTGGTGAGCCGTATGATGGTAGTTTGTGGAGGAGTCCTTCGTGCCAAACACGGTCGAATGCTTTCGATATGTCCAACGCGACAGCTAGAGATTCCCCGTGTTTTTCTAATGAAGCTTGCCATAAATGGGTGACGTAGGCAAGTAGATATCCAGTAGATCTTCGGTGGCAAAAGCCGTATTGTCTATCATTGATGATTCCTAAGCTCTCCAGATATTTGATAAGCTCAATATTGATGGCTTTCTCCATCACTTTGGAGATTACTGATAACAGGGCAATGGGCCTGTAGTTATTGCCTATTGGGCAGGTTCTTGTTCCCTTTTTTGGGGATTGGTTGGACTCTAGCCTTCTTCCAGCATGATGGAAAAATACTCGACCTGTACGAGACGTAAACAACTTTCAGAGAATCGGTGTTAACTCTGGTGCACATTTTTTGAGGATAATGGGTGGACTTCCATCAGGACCGTTCGCCTAATTCGTTTTGAGACCAAGCAAAATTCGTCTGATAGTGCGTTGACGGAAGACGATTTCGGGCATTCGACTCTCAACGGGTGGAATGTCTGGCGGCACTTTCCCTTGGGAATCTAGAGTAGAGTTTGCTGCGAACATCTCTGCAAATATATTTGCTTTCTCCTGCGATGTTGTTGCTAATGTGCCGTCGGATTTGGACAGTGGTGGAAATGAACTATTAGTGAAATTTCTTCGGACCGCTTTGGCAAGGGACCAAAACGAACGGTACAAAATTTCATATTCTTAAGTATTCTGAAGGCTTTTGCCTTATGAGTTTTTCTATGTAAATGAATTATTAGAAAATGAAATAACTTATAACATGATGGTGAGCCCCTTATTATGCTATTGATGTACAGCAATTATCAGATGATCATTTCCCAAGGTCCCATCGAATAGCCACCAAGATCACCTCATCAAACCCATCTGGACTTTTTCAAGGGGTCATTTGAAATCGCGATTGTATGCCACGCAACGTGGAACACTAGACGTGCTAGGTAAGAGAATTATGGAAGAATGCCGATTAATAACACCAGATGTCTTCAGTGATGTTTGAGAAGAATTTATAAAAAGTTTGTATCATTCTTCGCGAGTTAATGGAGGTCATAAGGAAATATACAATGAATGAAACTCCGATTTTGCGTCGGCTTTTTCAATTGCAGCCAATTCTATATTTGGTGAATTGATCGCCACAACAGAAAGAAAGGATGTGGATACGTAGAAAACCTATCAATTGAAGGGCAATTTCGGTTTTGAATTATAATTCAATGAGGATTATCACAAGAACAATTTGATCTCATGTGACTGAAGCTTTTATAGACTTTCAGGTATATTTCTTCTCGTGAACAGCGGTCCGTATGAAAAGACTGGAGCTAGCCAATTTCAGTATTACGAAAAATTTCATTCTGAAGAGTGGAAAACGTAGTGGCTGTACATTTGGTGAATATCATAGTTTCTGGCTAGAGCATAATATGTTGAGGTTTCAGGACTATTCAAACCTATTACCAGACTAATTTCAAAAGTCTTGATATACATGAATCTGCTACCTCGCAAATGCGTTATGCCAAAATGTTCATGTATTTTGGATACTAACGTAATTGTCATCATCAATTTTGGCATTATTTATTCAGAATTCTTGTTCCATCTTAGTCCATCCACGACGCAAATAGAGAGGAACTGTCAGACGATATAAGGAGGGTTTGGGATGAATTTCCTGATTGAAAGTGCCTGCTCTATACAGAATAATGGAAAATGGATGGTAAACAAAATCAATTCATTCAATTTTCTATATTAAATTCATAATTGGTTCATTTCATTGAATTTTCGTTTATTTGTTCTGTTCTGTCCGAATTTTATGATAGTGTCAGTTATATTATTCGTTATATTATTTTGAATTGAATTCTGAATTTGTTTTCCTTTGATACATAAATGTTAATGGTATGATATGTAATTGTCTTGTATTCTTAGCTACAATAGTTGTATTGTATTGTATGCACTGCGACCTAAATTATCTATTTTTTTTAGACTAAACGAGTACATGGGCTTGGATTGAATATACTATTGGGATATGGAGTATGTCAAAATTCACCTGGCTAACCGGTCTATGGAAAGTCGGGCCTACGTATATATTTCGATTTTCGGTGTCGGAAATTGCATATTGTCCAAGTAGAGATACAATGGCCAGGACGTGTAGGAGATTTATTTCTGATTGAATCTTAGGACTTAATTGACTGGCAGACGTGAGTCGGATTATCTACCAGTGTTTCTCTATTTACTTTCCTGCTCTCCTTCCATTCACCTCCACAATCGGGATCAGAGGATCTGAACAGTTTATCTAGGTCACAGCAAAGATTAACCTGTTTGATGAGTTATGATCAATTTCATTCATTCCGAACAAACAAGTTTTTTAATGGGTTCCTCACTCGTGGAGAACGATTATATATTTATAATACGAACGTTCAAGATAACAGGATATATTGTCACTTTAATATTCTTTGTTCAAAATTCAGTTGTCATATATAGAGAATCGTATGATGTTGCCATTTATTCCATTCATTACACTAGAGGGACTAGAGGAGTTTATACTCGCGTTATATACAGGGTGTCCCAAAATTACATAAAAATATTCGAACCACAGATTCTAGGAACAAAAATAGTAGAAAAAGTTTACATAAACGGGAGCCCAGAAATGGCCCTCTGAGAAGTTATAGCCATCTGCATGGAAGAGGGCCCCAGATGATGTTTTTTTTGTAAATGTGATGATAATATAACGATATTTTGTACATGTATATTACTTTTCATGCCCGATTGGCATAGGAGTGTTAAGAATTTTGAGAAATTCGAATCAGGGGCACGGGAAATAGGTGCCATTTTCGGTAGTTGGACCAGGAAATATTAAAATATCATCATTTTTACGTACCTTAAAATAATTCTCTTGTTTATTTTCGAGGGCACTCACCATTTTCGGAATGAATCTATTTTTAACGTAACAATGATAGTGCTTTTTCCGACTTCTTCCTCATAATTGGGTACCAAATTCTCCCAAAAATTATTTTTCGATGGAAAATAGTCATTCCCCACTGTGATGTTTGATTCAAAACATAAAGAAACAATAGAAAAAAAAAATTGGAAAATATCATGATACCCTATTGAGAAAAAGTACTATTTTCATTATGCTGCAGACTTTCAGAATCAATTTATCTTGAAAATTGTGGGTACTATCGAAACTGAACACAAGTATTATTCTCACGTATTTTTATATTTCCTGATCAAGTTGCTTGATTGCATAGAAAAGGGAGAGAAATGTCCCTAGCCCCACCTATTTTTCACACACCCCTGGTCGAAACTTTTGAAAATTCTTTGCATTTTTAAATCATGCATGAAAAGTGATATACATATACAAAATTCCGATATTGAACAAATATCAATGAAATTTGACAAGCTACATTTCAGAGGATTACTCTCTTTTCAGTCATCAAAGGAACTAAAAAGAATTTCCTTTCGTGAGCTCCAAGAGATGAAAAAAATACGAATCTCAAAGTTTTAGGAGAAGACTATCTTCATTTTGATACTTACGTGAAAACGTTAGATATTCCTGTTGAAGCTTATCACCTCCAACGATTTTCAATCATAGCTTTCCATCATACACCTCACATTGATCCTGGTAAAGGTATGACATTCTATATAATAGTATATTATTCGACGTGCGTGTAATGATGGACATTACTCATGAGAATGAAGTTTGCGACGTGAGCCGCAGGCGAACGTCGTAATCATTCGAATGAGTAATAGCCATTACACGCAAGTAGAATACTATACTTTTTCTATGACTGAGTGATGAACTGGTTGAGTTCATCAGCAGTGACTATCTTCGCTTTCTTTGACATATATCGATCAGATTTCCTTTTTAGAAATGCTGGTAATTTCAAATATTTGTCAATATTCACATAATTTTCCATTGAAATTGTGCTTCTTAGTATATGCATGGAATACTGTGACCACAAGGAGGATGCTTTGTGTTTAGCTGCTAATTCGCCAAAATAGGCTAGCAGTACATTATCCGAAAACGAATTTGCAAGTTTTGCTTTTTGCCTAACCACTTCATATACCTTTTTTTTAGATTCCTCGGGCAAAAGGCTGATTGTACTTGAATTGGCAGCTTTCGAAACTTCTGATGGTGGAGAGCAGTTGAATTCATTTTCGCTTTATGAATCCATATTTGTACAAAAAGTCAGTTCTAAATCACGCCAGATAGGTATTGTCAAATTATGACATTTCATGACGAGTCTGATTCAAACGTTCCACTGCATGTCCCATATTATCATTACAACTGGTGTCAACTGTTTTGTAGGTAATGCATCTGCTTTGTTGCTGATTGGCCATAGCCTGTTGTGTAAAGGCTCTTACACACGGGGCGTGGCTTGTTTTGTGTAATGCATCCAGTTACCCAACAAAAATGTTACATTAAAAGGGTCTAGTTTTCAACAGTCATAGAAAAAACAAATTCACTATTTCAGGACGTCAAAATATTATTCTGTCATTAAAATGTCACGCTGTTGGGTACCCACCATATACGTATTAATAAACAATACGGATCATAACGGGTGCCAGGATGAAGCCAAAAATATGAAACAAATGAATATTCATAAGGATTTGGTGGCATGATACGTATGCGCCATGCGCTATTATAGTAGTCCGACAGACATGCGTTTCGGTGGACAATGACGTTTACTAGCCTGTCAATCAAAGCAGTATGTGTCTGATCGTTTCAAAACTTTTCCTTATGGATAGTCATTTGTCTTCAAAAATCGGCTTCATGTTTCGCTATGGAAACAGATAGAGATTATCCGTATTGATTATTAATACGTATATATGGTACCCACGTGAAAAAAATATCTACTAAAATACATAAGTTGCTATGGTGATTTGTCAAAGACACCCGATTTGGTTAGGTTATAATCACTGGTGTGGGATTTCCAATGTGAAAACTGATGAAATTTTCAATTTTAAATCATTCTTGCAAGAAAATATGTAAAATAATCACTCCTACGTAGGATTTAACTAGTCACCTATCTAGTCACTTATCATACACCACGTGTTATGGATAGTCCTGGAAATCGACCTGACGTTCAGGAATATATCCGAAAAAAAAACCGTGAAAATTTTTGAATCAAAGTAAACGACTTGTGAGATCCTGAAAGAGCTGCGATGAATGTTCTCCAATTTACTATACTGCGCGACTGCGACATATCAACTTTCGGCGTGCAATATGGGTCGCCATTCCATCTCAAGTCGAATGGAGGTAAAACGTATCGAAATCCGGGATGCACGGAACTAATGTGAATTGATTCCTTGGCGAGGATTAGGTACGTGCTATCTCAAGCCATTGAGGACAACTTGATTTGGAACTATTTCACTGAAACATTCAAGTAGTGATCGAACATCACAATTTCGGATACGACAAATTCTTCTTTTCAGATGCTGACTATTCACTTCATCCATCTCTTATAGAAATTCGATAAAGTGATGAAAAAGTTATGATGCCATTAATATTTAGGCAGAGAACAAATTCTATTATGTATCTATAGAAATTGTCTTCAAATAGGCTCTTATTGACATAGGACACAGTATGGCAATTCTGCAAGACTCACGTATGGAGACTGTTGCCATCATGCTTGGTAACCTTTTATAAGTACTTCGATTGGGTGTGTACTTTTCTATAGCTAATACAACAGATAAAAGCGTTTTTTTTTTCCTTTCGAGTGATGCTCATTCATTGAACAGAGCTGTCATTGCTTGAAATTTGACATTCCATGGAAGATGAGATTTTGTGAAATAATGACACAATGAGAGAGAGGGAGAAAAGATTATACTTTATCATTAGACGAATTACATCATGGTTACAAAGCATATGGCTCGACAGTACCTAAGGTCAATATAAAATGGTAAAATATTGAAATAATGTTACACTAATAATAAATACAAATAAAAGTACAATTCGACGAATCATGTCATAAATAAATTGAAATAAGATCATGATTTGAGAAAATGTATAATAATTATATCACAGATCCACAGAATTGGTAAAATATTCATCCAAACAGTAATAGGGTCTATCTGATAATAAATACTTCACAGCTTTACTGAATGCATTAGATGGGCAATGAAGTCAATGTGATACCATATACGTGATACGTGATATCAGATACGTAAATGAAATTGATGACATACAAAGTCCCTCATTGATTTATCGAACACATCAGTGAAACAAGAGCAATTTTGGGTTGTGCTGAACGCCACCACGAATAAGTGTGAGAGAGCGACATCATGCCCAAACCTGTTCAAAACTCGTACTACATAGGAGGGACGATTTTTCATTCACCGGTGGCTCTATCATTCCTCAATGATTGTTATGTCAAATAACTGCGTTATTTTTCCAACACTGATGACTCCAACAATTCGATTCATGATGTCACTTCCATCAATAATGAAAATGTGGTGTAAAAAAGAACATGCCTTAGGTGTCATGAGGTTCTACTTACATTTTTCCATCGTCCCATTTCACCGGTATCCAGCATCCTCTAATAATCATTCTTTTGTCTAACTTGATGGAATCGTTTTCGAGATGTTCCATCGAATTCCGGTGTGCGAGGACTTTTCATTTCCGGCGCAGAATACGATCCTCGCACACGTTGGATCCGGGTATTTCGTCCTCTGCGAGCCAAGCTGCACGGCCATTGTTTAGTTCGACCGAAATTCACGTCATAAAGCGAGGTATTTATCGTGTATTGTTGCGGCCCAGGCGAAAATGACCGGCTACACAAATAGAGACATTTTTTATTGTAATCTCCGCCGACGGGCGATTTAGGGTCTCTTCATTCTTTCGCTAACAGCCCACACTTTATTTACTCGCAGGATACGTGCCACTGTGTCATTGTCAACACAGGCGACCGAGAGTTCAAGCATTATATGTCGAGCTCTAATAACTCATCTCTCTGGACCTCTGGAAGTCTTCTGAGAAAAGTAGTGATGAGAACGTTATGAATGAATGAT